ATGAGTATTGGGAGGCTCTTTAACAGAAACTTCTCGTTGATCTGATTTTCAATCCTTTGGTTAGTCGTGAGAGCATCTGCCTTCCACTGAGGGCTCAGAGCGCGCCAGTGCCGACACCTGGGCGGGACCAGCCTCTGCGTGCACCTTGTCTCCCTCACTCTGGGCTCCGGTCAGGACTTATGCAGTAGTAGTCCCAGCTATTTGGGAGGCTGAAGTGGGAGGATTGCCTGAGCCCAGGAATTAGAGGTTATAGTGCGCTGAGATCACTGCGCTCCAGCCTGGGCAACAGAGCAAGGCCCTGTCTCAAACAATCATTTTGAAAATCAATGCCGAGTTGTCGCAATTTTATTTTGCCAAGCCTGAATGTTATTAAAAAAAAAATCAACCTATTACTTACTGTGTCTATTATTTCATAAAAAGTAGGAAGATATTTGAATGCTCCCAAACTGTATTTGGCTTTTACAAACAATATTTCATTGTCCTCATTTTTCTCAATTTGATCCAGAAAGTGACCCAGCCCCTGGCCCCTGGTTGGCCCAAACCCTGCCCATTTCTACCCCAACCTAAACCCCTCTGCTCTCCAGGGAGATCGCTTGTATGTCACAGCTCTCTGGGACCAAGGGGACCCTGGAGTCAGAGCAGAAGCTCATGAGAGAGTGCTACGAAGAGATGGACTTTGGCTCAGGCTTGGGCACATCCTCCTGATAAGCAGGCGTGTTCACATGAGCCAGGCTTTCTGGAGAAGTGGTGGGTGGCTGAGCCAAAGTGCTCCAAGGAAGCCGAGGTCACTGTTCTGCAGATTTCTACCTGGAGTAGGTGCTCTCTTCCAAGGCTCAGATTCTACGATTTATAAAGGAAAAGAAAAATGTTCTGAAGGTTTCTTCAGTCTGACCCTGCATAAACCACCTGTGTTCCCTGCTGGTTTGAGGTGTGCCCTGTCTTGGGCATGGTTTCCTTGGGAAAAGGCCAGGGAAGAAATGGCAGCAGTTCTGACCCCTCCCCCAAGGCACCGATACACTATGTCACACGCCGGCCTTTGAGAGATGAACAGTTTTCCTGCCCTTGGTTGACAAATTGGAGAAACCTCAGGGCTTCCTCATCTTGCACCTGGGGAGGCGGGCAAGACCACCTTAGCAGCAAAGTTCAGGCTCCTGTCTTCCCAGGACCAAGTCACTCCTGAGGCCTGAAATAGCTCCCGAGTATCTCAGGGACTTGAGAAACCAGGGTGCCACCTTTTACATGCATTCAGAATTGGCTGTATCGTTGGTGGGGCTGAGTGCAGAATGAAAACATCGGCCCCCTGTTCAAAACTTATTACGCATTTCAAGATGGCAACAGCAGACCATTCAACCAAGCCTGAAGCCTGAGTGCCTACTGGGCCACACACCCGAGCCTGTGAACCCTGGAGTGCTCTTGGAGCTAGGTCCCTTGTAGGTGAAAGGCCAGCGTGGCCCTACTGGCCTCTCCTCTGTCTCTTTGCACCATCACAGCTGGAGGCCGGGCCTGCTGCAGGGGCTGTCACAGAAGGGAACGCACCCCCAGAGGTGAGGGTGGTCCAGGCTTGCTGCTGCATGCCTGGCACTGCCTCCTCCACCTCCCTTCCTCATCTGCAGAGGAGCAAACCCACCTTACTGAGGGCTACTGTAAGGATGACCGGAGGTGATGGCATGCAGCCTTCCAGGTCCAGGCGGGCCTATCTTAGGGGCCCAGAATAAGGGGCCCCAGGGGCAGGCATAGAAGAAACCTAAGGAAGACTCTGAGGAGGAGCTGATGTCCAAGGCAGAGAGAACGAATCAGAAGAGCCGGATACAGAACCAAAGCCTTGGTGTCCCACAGGGAAAAAGAGCTTTGGAGTTCAGTGGAGTGGGGCCTCCCATTCCACATGTGCTGGGGAGTTAAGCCAGGCTCAAAAAGACAAGGCTGCACACTCTCAGAAGCACTGACCTGGGATTCTACCTCTCTTCCAACTCTAGTAGAATTCTGAAAGTGGGTCAGCTCCAGTATTTAGTGACCCTGCTAACAGGACCTCTTCTTCTCAAGCGAGTAGTACCCTACAAGTGCCAGGCTGACCAGGGATTCTCTCAGTGGGAGGGCAAGAAAGGCAATGCCCAGGGAGGCTGGTTACCAGTGGGGGAAGAGCCCATGGAGAGAAGAATCCAAGGAAGGAAGGGTCAAGGGCAGAGAGAACTCAGAGAGGGTAGTGCCCAGGGAAGTAAATGCTCCGGGAGGAGTGATCCTAGAGAGGGCAGAGTCCAGGAAGGGTAGACCTCAGGGAGGGTGGAGCCCAGGGAGGGGAGAGTGCAGGAAGGGGAGAGTCCACGGAGGGGAGGGGAGTGTGCAGGAAGGGGAGAGTCCAGGGAAGGTGGGGCCCAGGGAGGGGAGAGTCCAGGGAGGGTGGAATCCAGGGAGGGTGGAGCCCAGGGAGGGGAGAGTCCAGGGAGGGTGGAGCCCAGGGAAGGTGGAGCCCAGGGCTGGGAAAGTCCAGGGTGGGGGAGTTTAGGGAGGGGAGAGTCCAGGAAGGGCAGAGCCCAAGACAGGGCAGCACCCTGGTAGAGCAGAATTTGCCCAGGAGAGCATAGATTATTTATTTTATCTTATTTATGCCCTTGTTTTGATTTTTCCTGCCAGTGTGACTTTGATCTTGGCACTGAAGAAAGCACCAGGACTCCATACAGTAGAGAGAATCTGGGCTTGGTGTCACAAACTGGAGCTCACATTCTGGCTCCAGCAGTTGCTGGCTTGGCTTGTGGCTCTAGCAAAGCGTGAGGGCTTCACATGCTTCTGTCTTCTCTGTGTTTGTGAAAGGCAGGACGAAGACTCCTACTCATCTGCTGGTTATTTAGAGCCACTGAACGCAGCTCTGGGCCAGGGCCGGTACTCAGAGGTGCTCCTGGCAGCCTCTCTGAGTCCCCATTTTCTCGCTGCCTGTCTCTCCATGCGTCTGGCTGCTGCTTTCTACATGGCATTCCTGAGCCTCTCTCCCCTCACTATGGCACAGAAGTCAGGGCACAATGAAGGGCAGAGGACAGCCTGGCCATCCTGCTAAGTCAGTGTATGGGTAAGGACAGGCCCCTGGTTTTGCTGGACTTACACTTCTTCATCCATGTGACAGTGATAAGATGCCATCCTGATGGAATGCAAGGGAAATGCTTCAGGAAACATGACAAATGCAGTCTTGAACTGGTGGTCATCAGGCAGAGGAAATGTGACCAGAAGAATAACCCAGTGACATGGAGGCCGGGAAACATGCCGTGGGTGTTTCCTTGCATGCTCTGTCACTGCACATGGGTACCAATCATGTTTGCCCTCTGGGAGTGACTAAGGTGAGAGGCACACAGGCCTTGTCTCCAGGGGACTCAAGACAAGATGTCAACAGCTCTCAGTGCCAGGCCCATAAGGACCCTGCAGGAAGAGGGCTGTGGCCCTCAGAGCCCGAGAGGTCCAACCGGAGCATCAGGAGGCGGGTAGGGTGGCAGCGCAGTAGCTAGGCCACCAGAAGACGGGTTGGCGCTGTGGGGCGGGGAGTGGGGTCCGCAGGGCAGCACCCCTGGAGGCAGAGAATAAGAAGGTAGTGTTAGGCTGGAGAGGAGGGGAGTGCTTAGGGTTGTCTTTTAGGGTAATTCAGGGTCTGCCTCTCCTGACATATGGAGAGGTGGAGGAAGGCAGGGAAGTAAGTGTCATCTTTGATTTGCAAACCCCTACAAACAGGTGCCCCATGCCCTCACACACAGAAGCCCTTACACGAGCACGCCACTCACCCCAGCGTGCACACACCACATCACTCATCCCAGTACACACACCACAAAACTCACCCCAATGTGCACACACCACATCGCTCACCCCAGTGTTTACACTACATCGCTCACCCCAGTGTGCATACCACATCACTCACCCCAGTGTTCACACCACATCACTCACCCCAGTGTTTACACCACATCGCTTACCCCAGTGTGCATACCATATCACTCACCCCAGGGTTCACACCATATCACTTTCCCCAATGTGCATGCACCACATCACTCATCCCAGTGTTCACACCACATCACTCACCCCAGTGTTCACACCACATCACTCACCCCAGTGTGCATACCACATCACTCACCCCAGCGTGCACACACCACATCACTCATCCCAGTGTTTACACCACATCGCTGACCCCAGTGTGCACACACCACATCACTCACCCCAATGTGCACGCACCACATCACTCACCCCAGTGTTCACACCACATCACTCACCCCAGTGTTCACACCACATCACTCACCCCAGTGTTCACACCACATCACTCACCCCAGTGTTCACACAACATCACTCACCCCAGTGTGCACACACCACATCACTCACCTCAGGGTTCACACCACATCACTCACCCCAATGTGCACACACCACATCACTCACCCCAGTGTTCATACCACATCACTCACCCCATTGTGCACGCACCACATCACTCACCCCAGTGTGCACGCCCACATCACTCACCTGTGTTCACACCACATCCCTCACCCCAATGTGCACACACCACATCACTCACCCCAGCGAGCATGCACCACATCACTCACTCCAACGTGCACACCACATCACCCACCCTAGTGTTCACACCACATCACTCACCCCAGTGTTCACACCACATCACTCACCTCAGCGTGCATACACCACATCACTCACCCCAGTGTTCACACCACATCAGTCACCCCAGCGTGCACACACCACATCACTCACCCCAGCGTGCACACACCACATCACTCACCCCAGTGTTCACACATCACTCACCCCAGTGTGCACACACCACATCACTCACCCCAGTGTTCACACCGCATCACTCACCCCAGTGTGCAAACACCACCCACCTATATCCACCCAGCCCTGGGGCGGCTGCCTGTCCCTCCCTCTGTCCCCTTAGGAAGGGGAGGCCCATCCCAGTGGGGTCTGGAGGGTGTAGCAGGCAGAGTGGGTCTAGAGTGTCCTCAAGATCAGGTCTCACATTCAGGAGGGACTGCAAATTAGACATTTGACTTTATTTCCAAGTGAGACTTTCAAGCAGGCACAGAAACACCACCAGTTCTGAAAGAAGATGCTCAACACCCAACTTGGAACAGCATTGTAACACCACACTGCCTGGCATGTACCAGAAATTCATATTTTCTTTAACACCAGTAATTAAACCAGAATGTTTCATTGTATTTTCGTGTTAAAGTTGTTCATTGGTTCCATGTAAACATTTAACATAAGGCTTTCCCACCCCCTCCCATACGCACTGTTTAAAAAAAATAAATGGGAGCTTCAACCGTGGGGAGCAGCCCTGGCCTCTCTAAGCCTCCCCTAGGCCCTGCTCCGGCTGGAGGTCAGAGGGCCATGGGTGCACTCTCCACTACTTGCAGAATCTTCCTCACACCGCCCCATTCCATGTTTGGCCAGGAGGGGGTAAAACACTGAGCACGTGGAAGGCATGTCCTCCCTTGGGTTTGTGGAGGCTGGGTCTGGTCCCACAATCCAAGCCCAGGCAGGGCTCTGGGATGCATGACTCAAGAGAGCCGGCAAATACAGGCAGAGCCAGTGACTGCCCATAAGGACTGTAGCTCTTCAGAGCCTGGGGAGGCCTCCCCCAGGAAGGCTGGAGTCTTGTCACTTGAGGACATGTCACCAAGGCATAAAAATAGGAATGTTTCGAAAACCAAAGCATGAGCACATTTAATTCCAACAAATTCAAATCCAGGCCTGCCTTCCATGGGGTTGTCGCTGGGGGCACCCTGGGTGCCATATGCCGGTGATCTGGCTATGCTGAGTAACTGCAGAGATGCCGGCCGCAGGCTGCCCCACCCCTCAGGGGAAAGTGTGGCCCCCTCTCAAACAGTCACATGGTTTCAGCCATGGACAGCGAGTTGTCCCGTGTGCGCCACTGGCTGCAGGAGCACTGCACGAGGGGGTCACAGTGTATCATGCAGCCCACAAGGCTGCTGTCCTGACCTCTCTGTCTGTCCTGCCGTTGGCCTGAGATAGTTTCTCAGTGCCTCAGAGGAGATATTAAAAAACATTTGGCCACTGAGTGAGCACTGGCAACAGTGGCCAGACCATGCCCTGGATGTGACAAGTAACCTAGTCACACTTGTGACTGATGAGCCTCAGCGCGGCCTGGAGTGAACACCCCTGGGCTCCCAGTGACTCACTGCTCTTTAGCTAGAGAGGACCTGCTAAACTGCAGTGGGGCACTTGGGAAGATCCTGGGCTTTGAGGTCCCACAGAGCTGGGTTGGAATCATGCCACTGATCAATGCTACTTCGTGTGCCTGCGTTTTGGTCTCTGCGTCTCTAAATTGGAAGCCATGCCCCTCTAACTGGGTTGTGGGAAATAACATGCCGTGATGGATGTGGAGCGTGGCCTGCTCCTTCCCTCCACTCCGCAGGGTTTTGGAATGAGCCCACCCTCCTCCACCTCTCTAACTTCCATCAGTCTCTGCAGTCACCTGCCTGCCTGTGCTCCTCCGGCTCACTGCTGCTCAGTTTTCTGATGACTCTGGATTATTTTTCCCCTTGTCTCCTTTTTGTCCCCTCCTTGCACCCCAACAACCCTCCCAGGTTTTCCCATTGTGCTCAAACCCCCATTTCCTTAGGGTTCCCTGGCAGTTGAATCGGTGGTGTGTGCTTTGGGTGGGGGATGGGGCGGGACAGCAGGCTCCCTTTCCCCCTCCAGGCTGGCATGCAGATAGAATCAGTCCTTGTTGTGCCTAGGGGGATGCAGGACCTCCCATGAGGAGCCCCTTTCGCCTGCCTCCCCAGCCCCACAGGCAGGTACTACCTGCACCCACACTCTGCCACACTCATGCCCTCGTAGTGGTACTTGAGGGTGGGAACCCCCATGTCATCCTTGTAGAGGACAGAGATGGGGTTCAGTTTGGTGGGCACACAGCAGGCCTTGCCCACCTTTGTGGGGAACTTGAGATGCGCCAGGGTCTGCACAATCGCGTGTTTCGTCGGCGTCACATCATCGGCCAAGGGAAAGAAGCAGCCGCCCTTACACTCGTAGGCTTCGTACTCCTTGGGCGCGATGATCCAGCTGTCCCAGCCAATGTCTTCAAAGTTCACCAGCAGGGAGGTCTTCTGACAGTGGCTGCCCGCCCCGGCGCTCCTTTTCCGTCTGGCTAAAGTTGGTCCTGCAGCCACCTGGCTGTCCACGTCCTCCTCATGGCTGCTCTCACCTGCCTCTGTGGAGCCATCCCTGGACTGCTTCTTGAGCACGCTGTCTTGCTCATGGCCGATCATCTCCCTGAGCTCCAGCCTGGCCTCCTTCGCCCCGCTGCTGTGGTCATTGGAGAAGACGACAAAGAATGGCAGGTTTCCGGAACCTGGAGGAACACTGATGTCCAGCTTGTCGCAGCCCTTCCTGTGGCTCTCCACAGTCACTTCCAGCTTATTTTTGCTCTTGGTGGAGTCGGCCCGGACCCAGCGCTTCACAGCGCTGGACACTTCCAAGGTCTCCCAGCCCTCATCCCGAATGTCCTGGGACACCAGGAAGTTCTTGGTCCCGGCAGCACCATCCCAGGCATCTGTTCCATCCAGAACATCGTAAATGATCATGCTTCCTTTCAGATCGTGAGAGGGGTCCACGTGATTTTGACAGGAGACATAGAGTCGGAGCTCGGCTCTGGTGATCTGCTCGTGCCTGGGAATCGAGATGTTGAAGAGCAAGATGTGCTTCTGGAAGGGGAAGTCCTCCGTGGCAGTTACCGAGATGGCATCTGAAATGCAAACACACCTGGTGGGCATCTGCCGGCGGGTCTGTTTCTGTGACCTGAAGCTGAGTCTCAGGGTTTAGACAGAAGAACATCTGGGATAACTGTTTTGGTCTCTATTATCTCTATTTGGTTTCACCCAAGCTCTTAAGATAAAAGAGTATTTTGAAAGGTACATTTAAGATCTTCCAAAGAAAAGCAAAGGCAGGAGATGCCTCCAACTGAGACTGACAACTCCTGCTGTTTCCTGAGCATCTACTATGTGACAGGCATTACGCGGGAAGCTTGGCAGAATACATTTCACATTAATCCTCACACTCACCCTGGGAGGATCTAATTATTATTCCACGTTTGCAGATATGGGGACTGGGATTCAAGTCAGTTAACTACAAAAATGCATACAGCTAGTTAAGTATCCTGGCACTTAGCAGCACACAGCTAGTTGAGTACATAAAAAGAACAGCAAAACTCACTGTCAGGTCCTGAGTAAAGATCCTGAGTGTAAGAGTTTAAAGGAGAGATCCTGGGTGGGGACAGTGAAAGCTCAATATTAAGACAATGTTAAAAATCTCAGCATTTAAACAGTGTATAAGTCATCTGGAATTGTAATTTCCAAACAAAGTGAAAGTGGACAATTGTTTTCAGTGTTTGAGGAAAAAAAAAAACTATTGGCTTAAATTGCTTTGTCATGTCAAGCAAAAATGTGGCTTGCCTTTTAGCCACATAGTTATCTCAATTTCCCATTTATCCTGGGCTGACACTTTGTCATTAGCACGCTCCTGCTATACCGTGGCAGGCTCACAGGCAGGGGAAAGGTTGCATTTTTTGAGCACTGGCTATGTGCCCACATGTGTGGAGACCCTGCGCTGTAGGGAAACCCAGCCGGCAGGTTTTGAAGTTCCAGTCCTGCCTCTGCAGACCGGTTAGGTCTGGCCTGGCTGTGGTATGGAGCTGGGGCCCTTAGCCATTTGCAAGTCTCAGACCCAGGAGGGGAGAGGCCCTGTACTCCTGGACATTCAAAGGGAGACAGAATCCAGTGGCTTAACACTTCTTAGGAGGCTTGGGTGGGTACCCTTGGTGGCTGCAAGCTTTGACTGAACAGTTTCGCTGTTCAGAAACTCATTTCACCTGCATCATGTGAGCTTGACTGAGTTAGGACATAGGTTCTAGGTCCGTGTTTGTTATCTTCTAGTCCTTCTAAGTCAGATGTGTTTCTACTTAAAAACAATTAGGTTCTCTCGCAACAATTCTCTGTTAAAGAATTTTATCTGATTTTTAAAACCCTTTCATAAGAAAGGAATAGATGTGCTTCCAAAGTTTAAAAATATACGAGTTAGTTGGGGAAGAAACATGTTGTCTGATCTGTTTTGAAGTAGGAAGGGGACAGGAAGAGAAGGGGGAAAGGAAGAGAAGTGAATCACAGCAGGGAGATGGAAAGAAGAGGAGAGCAAAGGGAAGGGGGAAGAAAAGGGGAGCTGGCATCCCTGTGCACCTGCTGTGTGAAACATGGCACACAGCCCAGAGAAGGTGAATCCTTCAGAGCAGAGCGGCTGAGTAGCACTCTCAGTGACAATTAAAATGTCCTGCTATCTGCCCTGCCTGATAGCGAAGCCATTAGCCACACATTTGAAAGGAAGCTGGTGAGGCTAAAGAACTACATTTTAATTTTATTTCATTGTAACTAATTTAAATGGAAGTTTGAAGAGCCTCCTATGGCCAGCGGCCTCCACAATGGTCAGGGCAGCTGTGGACCTGTGAGCCCCACCCCAGTGCGCCTGATGCAAGCAGAGACCTTACCTTCCACACTGAAGCTCCGCACGATGTTGGACGCTGGCGTGGTTGACTTATCAGACGTGTACCTGTTGTACAGGTCGATCATGTACTGCGGCGGCTCAACTCTGGTTTTGTCCTGTGAAGGGACCCCACTCAGGTTAAGGCTGCGTAAGAAATCCACCTTCATGTTCTCCAGAAACAGCTTCAGGTTGAAGGTGTGCTCTGGCAGCTCACCTCCAGGCACCTCCAGTGGGCTGTGGGTGTTTCCCCCAGCAGACCCTTGTCCCCACCTCTGCAGTGGCTTCCCCTGCAGGGAGCCGGCCAACAGGGACAGCAGGGGCAGGGCCACCCACAGTGCCCCAGGACACATCTTGGGCCCAGGCAATCACCCAGAGAGGAGACTGCAGGCGGCCGTGTTGTGTTAGCGGGCACGGGGAGGAGCTGGGAAGGAGCGGGCGGGCATCTCCCTGTTGTTTGCTCTGGAGGAACCGTCCTGGTCAGTGCCCACTCTTGTCTGCCGCCAGGCCGGATTGTCCTCCACTTGTGCTAATTTGGCCCTCGATGCCGCGCTCCAACCTCTTATCTGAAGGAGCCCTTCGTTAATGAAGGCTCTGTAAACATCTGACAAACACACAGGGCATGTGGGAAGGACACGGCCTACTGTAAAGAATCTGCGCTTCTCCTGGGGGTTATTGCCCCCTAATTAGGATCCTTTCTCATTTCCTTGCCAGGGCTGTTCAGAAGAATCTCCAGGCAGGGCGACATATACTCCATCTCCTGGGCTACAGGAGTGAAGAATCCAGGAAACAAGACCAGTAAGTCCTCTAAATAAAGAAAGGACAACGCAAGATCACAGCGAACCGTGGAGGCTGGGGAGATGGGGGTAGGGCGGGGACCACATCAGGGCTCGGAGGAGGCCTGCTCCTTGTAGAGTCAGAGCCTGCCAGCAAGGCTCCCCGCTCTTGGTGGGGTACATTGCTGAGCATTAGAGATCACGGGTGAATATGGCCCCCATGCAAATTAATGTGGTGATGAGTCCGACTAGACAGAGGCTGGGATCTCAGCTCACCAGTTCCCTGCAAGTGTCACCTGGAGAAAGTCACCACAGCTCTTGGAGCCTCCCGTTCAGAAGATAGTTGTAGACGGTTAAGAGGATGCTGTGCCCCAGGCTGGCTTGGTGGCTGCATTCTGGCTGCCTCATCTCCAGCCCAGGGCTGACTGAGCTGAAGATGGGGGAGGAAGCCCCAGTTTCCCCCGGCCTGCTCTGGGGGAGCTCCACAACACACTGCAGCCTGTGGGGAACTCCCCACATCCCTGCATCCCAGCCCTGTCACTGGTCTGTTGTGAGGTGGTCTTAGCTCACATCAACCTGGCAAACACCTGGGCCACACTCATCAGCAGGGAGAACCACACAATCTGATAGACAGTGGAGTAGGTGGGTTGTTCAGAGACTGGTACATGACAAGAAGATGATCCCCTGGCCTGTGGAGGCCGACAAGCTGCGGCCCAGGCAAGGGACCCAAGGACTGCGTTAAGAGCAATGTGTCCACACTTGGACTCTGTCCGTTTCCATCACGTGGGGCTTTGAGCAAAGCAAAGAAGGAGCATGGTCAGAAATACTCTGGGGTATGGTGTGCCTGGTGGTTTACTCTGGGAAGATGCTCCACACTGGTGAGGCTCTGAGGGAGAGGTTGCAGAGAGTTGAGCAGGTTCAGGGGGTGCAGGAGGGGCCATGGCATGCTGTAGTCAGAGATTGCAGAGGGGAATGGGTGAAAGCAGGAACCCCTGAATGGCCAGGCCTGGACGGAACTTGCTATTTCTGTCCTTTGACAACATGGGAAGACAGGAAGGGTGTTGCTTCAGAAACGCTGCTTGGGAAGATGACTGGAAGTGTGCTGGGCTTCGCTCCAGCCCAGTGCGACAATTCCAGGGGGAAGAGAAAAGATAAACAAATGGGTGCCATGCCCAAGAAATGGAGCTGCAAATGCGAAGGAGGGTGTGGTCTGGGAGGAGTGAGAACAAGGCAGATGCCTGCAACGTGCTCCAGCCAGGAGCCTTTCACACCCGAAAGGCTGAGCAGAGGGATAGCCTAAGTGGCCCGGATGTACACAGGGAGGAGCAAGGGCCTGCTACCTGATGTTATTTTTTAACTGTGACGTTTTTGTCCTAGTTGTAACAGTAGTCTGTAGTGTAGAAAACTTGAGGAATGGAAAACATTATTATTATTATTATTGAGACAGTGTTTTGCTCTTGTTGCCCAGGCTGGAGTGCAATGGTGTGATCTTGGCTCACTGAAACCTCCATCTCCCAAGTTCGAGTGATTCTCCTGCCTCAGCCTCCCAAGTAGCTGGGATTACAGGCATGCACCACCACTCCTGGCTTTTTTTTTTTTTTTTTTTAATAGAGATGGGGTTTCATCATGTTGACCAGGCTGGTCTCGAACTCCTGACCTCAGGTAATCCTCCTGCCTCAGCCTCCCAAAGTGCTGGGATTATAGGTGTGAGCCATCATGCTCAGCCGGAAAACATTATTAAAGAGAAAATAAAAATAACTTACAATCTAATCATCCAGTGATGCACACAGCTAACATTTTGAGACACCTCCAGCTCCACAATCCTATATCTGAAACCCTTCTGGCTAGGAGTGTGTCGAGACTCTGATAGCTTCATATTTGGGTGATTTTGTATTGTGTATATGCAATAACATCTCCAAAGGGGTCAGAGAAGACGCCTCATAATGACACACATGAATATTTCTGCAGTGAAACCAATAAAGACACAAATGTCATTCAGGTCAAGTTTTCCCAGAAAATGAATTAAAAGAAACTTTAGGTTCTCTGACGGTTTTGTATTTAGGGGATCTCAGATGAAAATGAATTAAAAGAATCTAGGTTCTCTGATGGTTTTGTATTTGAGGGGTCTCAGATGAAGGACTATGGACCTGACTGCATCCAGTGTCATCACAGCTGCCTGTGGTGCTGGTCACACAGTCTGACATGGGTAGCTTTCCCTGGAGCTGTAAAAAGCAACATGCCAGTTCATGTATATCTGAAACAATCTGATCTGCCTCACAAACTCAAGGTATCAACATGTTCACATCTATTTTATTGTTTTTAACGGATTGCTTGAGGTTTCCTGATCCATATTAGCAGGAAGTCCAGTCTTCTCCTTTCCCGAATTGTCCAAGTGCCCCACGGGTCAATAAGGCCAAAGGAGATGGGGTAGAAGCTGTTAGTCCAGCTTCTTCCTGCTGGGAAGTGGGAGGGAAAGAGGGGTCCCACCTGCTGTTGCTTCTCAACACCACTGGCTTTGCTGTTGGGCACCAGTCCTACATATGTAAACAACTGCTTGTTCATAGCTGTTGGGATGCCCTCTAGCCCAGGTCTCTGGGGTGGCACCCATGTGGCAACAAGATAACAGTGTTCACAGACATGTGCCAGGCTTAACCATCTCCAGCATGCATGCCTTGGTGGCCAGTGGCTGAGTGGGGAGAAGAGACCACCTATGGTCACACTCCAATTCCAACCTGCCCTTTCTGAAATCTCTACGTTCTTACGAGGGACCTAGGTCACCAGCGGGACTCCCACTTTCATCAGGTGTTGATTTCAGGGACCTGGTTACCTTTTCAGACAAATGGGTCTTGGTACATCTGAGAAAATCCCCCTAACTCCGGATCTTAGGGAACAAGTCTCGGTCTTGTGCTGCCTTTCCGAGGAGGAGACAGACCCTGGACATTCCCTCCTGCAAGAGGACCCCTCCCTCTGCCATCACCAGTTTGCATTGTTGGGGCCTCAGGAAGGAGCTGCCTTACTTGAACAACAGAAGGTCTTACTTATCCTTCCTTTCCCCCTCCTCCTCCAAACTGTGTACTTTCTAATTTTTCACTGACTTGCCAGAGAAGTCCATCCACATGATTATTCAAAGCCTAAAGATCTGAATTATAGTAGTGTTCTGTGTCTATGTCTAAATAAAGCAAAAGCTGGCATAAAATTTAAGAAAAGCTATACCAAAGTGTCTTCAAACTCTGCCTTAGGTTTACTTTCGAAGCCACTTGAGGTATACAAGGTTAGATGTTATATATTCTCTTTTAAAATATTTTCTAATTAAAAAAATTAAAAATGCTGTTATTTAGATTCCTTTGTCACAGGTTGCAGAGAAGCTGAATCCAAAGAGGCTTAAGCAAACTGGATTGTGCCTGACTAATGAAATCTTCTCAGTTGGCAACGATTTGGCTTTAGCATGGCTTGAGCTATAGAACAGGTGAAGTTCTAGCCATACTTTCTTCTCTCTCAGTCCTGCCTTCCACCTTGTGGGCTTCACACTCCATCACTGTGTGTCTTGGCAAGGTGACCGGTCACTGCAGCTGGCCTGCATCCCTTTCCTATGGGGGCAAGGTGGGGTCGAGGAGGAGCAAAAGCCTCTTTTCCAGGAAGTGACAGGGAGTCTCATGGTGTCTCTCGGACCCTGATTGGATCATCTGCCAACACCCCAGCCAATCATCGTGGCCAGGGAAATGCAATGTCCTGAATGTCCTGATTGGCTGAGGACCCTGGGATGGGCATGGCACAGGCGCACAGGGAGAGAGTCCGGTTGGCATGAACTCAAGAAGGGTCTAGACCTGGGCACTAGGAGGAGGTATTGTGGAAGGATTGCATAAATATCTTCCCACGTCATGAAAAACTTTTCATGAACTTATTTATTTATTTATTTGTTTATGAGAGGAGCTCTCACTCTGTCACCCAGGCTGGAGTGCAGTGGCGTGATCATGGCTCTCTGTAGCCTCGCCCTCTGTGGGCCGAGGTGATCCTTATGCCTTAGCCCCCTGAGTAGCTGAGACCACAGGCATGACCCACCATGCCAGGCTAATTTTTATATTTTTTATAGAGATAAGGTTCCAACATGTTGTCCAGTTTGGTCTCAAACCCCTGAACTCAGCAATCTGCCAGCCTCCACTACACAAAGTGCTGGGGTTACAGGCATGGGCACTGTGCCCAGCCTATGAACTTCATTTTTAGTGACTAAGTATTTTCCAATCATATGGACATATCTTAATATATTCAAATGTTTTCCAATAGTAGGACAATCAAAACTATTAAGATGATGTTGCAAGACACATAACTGCATATTATCATAGTGTATATTTTGCATCATTTTTTGGACGGGTCATTGGAAGTGGAATATCTAGGTCATGGTATACATAAACATTTGCAAAGCTCTTGGTAAGCATTGCTAAGCGGCTTTCCAGAAATGCTTGTTAAATATACACTCTCATTAGCTGAGCCTAAGAACTTGTCTTACCACACTGTTACCAATACTTATTTCTAATCTCTAGCAAATTATTGAACAGCAGCAACAAAAAATGCTAATTTGCACTGCTCCATAGTCTGGACTATATTTTCCCCCACTGTTTTCAGGAGACAAACCACAGGATCTGGGCTTCAGCCTCCAAGGAGGTATAGCCGTGGCCAGGTCTCACCTGTGCTGGTCTAGGGCTGTGCTCAGGAATCACATTTGTTACCGTGCTATGAGTCTAGGGAGAGGGCCCAAGGGCTCCGCAGATTCCTCGGTGTTCCAGGGGAATATGGC